TTTTTTTTTTTTTTTTGTAACTGTTTTTCTTCAAGGAAAACGTGCATGTTTTATAGCTCTACAGCTAAAAAAAAACTTTGTAATTTCATTAGTAGCTAATGTCTTACCAACCTTGAAAACTATCAAGTTTTCAAAGAATGCAATTTTTTAAAAAATGTCTTTTATTTCTGAGAGAGGGAGAGAGAGAGAACATGAGAGGGGAGGGGCAGAGATAGGGAGACAAAGGATCCAAAGCAGGCTGTGTCCTGACTGCAGAAAGTCCAATGTGGGGCCCGAACTCATGGAACTGTGAGATCATGACTTGAGTTGAAGGTGGACGTTTAACCCACTGAGACTGAGTCACCCAGGCACCCCTCAAAGAATGCAATTTTAAAAAATATATTAGAACTTTAGGATGCCTTGCAAAGGAGAATTAGAAAAGTTCACATCTGATCTATTTAAGAACCAATCAATTTGATTACAGCAATAAACAGACAGTGAAAATGGTTAAACAGGGCACTGCTGATAAAGAACCTGCCACCACTTAGAAATGTGGCTACACTTTGTTGAAAAAGGCTGAGAGCCAATTTAACTAGTTTCACTTCCGTAAACTCCTATCTTGCTTAATTTCAAACTTTTGTCATAGTCTAGAGTGACTGAACAATTTATTTTCCAAGAACAATCACTGTTTTCTCCTTGTCCCCTCAAAAGATGTAGACAGATACGGCAATCTGCTGTTAGTGTCGAAAGGGTAAAAAATGTGTTAGTGCTTGCATTTCATTTTGCTCGGTCATAAGTAAAAAATTATCTGGAAGGATAATAAATTAAGAACTCTAAGAAATAACCCAGAAAGTAGAACAAGAAGATTTAAAAAATGAGTAATAAGTGAGGAAAATTATGAAAATTGTAAGCTAAACCTAGAAGGCCCAACATCCAAGTTAATAGTGAAATAGCACAAAATGTCCTCAAATTGAAGGACATGACTGTTTGGCTGCTTCCAAGAAGAAAATAAAATAGCACACACAAAGGATCATAAATAAGAATGTCTTCAGATTACTTGATAGCAGTAACTTCAAATTTTTAAAAGAAAATTATTTCCAACCTGGTTCTATATTCAGTTAAACTGTCAGTCAAGTATGAAGACAGAATCAACGTATCTTCATACATGAAGGTCTCAAATTTTACCTCTCATGGCATTTTTTTTTTTTTAGAAAACAATTATTAGAGGATATGTTCCACCAAAATGGGAGGGAAAATCAAGAAAGAGTCCAGAGACATGAGATGCAGGAAACAATCCAAGAAAAAGAGAGGCAAAAGAAGTACTAGGATGATGGCTGAGGCAGCCATAAGACAAAAGCTGTGCAGCAAATCTAGACAGCAACCGATCTAAGCTGGAACTGGAAGGGAGGCTTCAAGACAGAGGTCTCCACAGGGGATAGATACTATGTGGAAACTAACCTGAGAGGTAGTGAAAGAATTAGTGACAGGCACCTAACTACTGCAACAAATGAAAAAATGGTGGCCATTATTTACTCTAGAAAGAGAAAAGTTACCAAGAAAAATACAGTATAGGAAAAAAGACCAGGAAAAAATTCACAAAGAACATTTATATTGTCATCACAGCAATAAAATTATCAATTATTTAACCAAAAATTGTGAGAGAAGAAATAAGGGTGAGGGTGTGGTAAGGACTGTTCACATGCTAAATTCTTACCTACCATAACAAGAATAAATTAGGTCTAAACTTGGCAAAACAACACAGAAGTATTAACATATTACTTAGAAATAGAAGGTACAAGAGTTTTAAGCTATCTCTGTGGAAAGGAAAAAGGACTGATTTTTTCCCTCAACATTTTAATACTACTTTGACTTTTGACAGTAAGTGCATGTATTGCTTTGATTTAAAAAAAAAAAAAAAAGTCTATATTGAGAGGGTGCAAATAGTGTTCTAAGCTCTTTACACTTATTAAAAAATTTAATATTTACAACATGCCTTTAGAGTAGGTGCTCTTTTATCCTTGTTTATAATGAAAAAAACTAAGGTTGTGAGAGATTTAATAATTTACTCAAGGTCAAACAGCCTAGAAAGAGGCAAAGCCAAGATTTGAACCCAAACAATTGAACTCCACAGCAAATATTCTTACTATAGTATCACAAATATTACATTAAATTGTCCTATCAAGAAGGGAAAATTAATTTTAAAACTTCTAGTTAAAAAACATAAAATGTTTCAAAAGCAGTAGAATCTCACTGACAATGCTACTTCTGTGATCTTTAGTCAAGAGCCTACCTCAATGCAATACTGACTAGACTCCACATTTTTGTAAAACAATAAATTCAAATTGTATTTTGTGTTCAAAACTAGATGCATCACTTAAGATTAGGTTTTCTACTACTATAACATTTCCCTCCTCTTGTCCTTCTACTCTTCTCCTAACAGTTGTCTTATATTTATGCCTTTTTATTTTATGCCACTCCTTTTTGGGGAAAAGGATGGTTGCGTATAATAACAATATAAATGAAAGAAGAGAGTTTTATATAAAATTTAAACTTGTTTATATAAAACAGTAACCAATGGGAAATACATATGCTATGCAAGTAACAAAAAGGCTAATATCCTTATAACTGAAGATTCATTCATATTAAGAAAAACATAAGCCAATTTTAAAAAGACAAGACTATGAAAAGACAACTTGCAGAAGAGCAAATTCAAAAGGCTAATAATCAACGTTGCTACTAACACAAAACACACAATTGGGAAAGAGATCTATTCTGTTTATGCAACCTAATGGGCAAAGATTAAAAATAAATTTAACAACACTGGCAAAGCTGCAGTGAGCCAAGCACACTCATACAATGCTTATAGTAACATAAACTGGTATAGACATTCTGGATGTATCTGATAATATGTATGAAAACATTCCTTTATGCATCTATCCAAGAAAATAGCTTAAAATGCAACAATACCAGCAGTCCCATCAATGAAATAGCAGAATCAACTTATGTGCTCCAAAATATTACTGGATGTGTTGCTTACAAATATTATGATACAGATAAATAAAATGAAATTCTGTAGTCATCAACAGTATTTAAGTAACAAAGAAAAATTCTTTTAATAAATAAATAAAAGCAAGATACAAAACTGTTTAATTACATGTCTGATAAACCCATATACCTAAAGAAGAATCAAATATTAGCAGTCATGTTCTCTGATGACAGCGAGCAAAACTTTCTTCTTTGAAATTATTTTTATTATCCAAATTTCCTTCAGTAAACATGAAATAATTTTAAAGATGGAAAAAGCAAAGTTTGTGTATAGAATAGTTTCACATACCTTGGTGGCTGTTACTGATGTGGCCAAGTTTGTAGTTTTGGAAGAGGATCCATTAGAACTTGCTGGTGGTGTCTGAGCCACTACAGATTTACTGTTTGTACTGTTTGTTCCATTAGCAGCACTGGCAGAGTGGGAGAAAGTAAATTTGAAGCCACTAGATGATGTCCTTTTGGGAAGGTTTTCTTTGTCTTCACTTTCTTTTGCTAAAGCAAAATTTTAAATCTTTTTTAGTAAAGATTCCTAAGCAAAGCATCTGAAAAGCACAGTAACTTTAAAACTTATAAATCATTAATGTGGATGGAACTGGAGAGTGTATGCTAAGTGAAATAAGCCATACAGAGAAAGACAGATACCATATGTTTTCACTCTTATGTGGATCCTGAGAAACTTAACAGAAACCCATGGGGGAGGGGAAGGAAAAAAAAAAAAGAGGTTAGAGTGGGAGAGAGCCAAAGCATAAGAGACTCTTAAAAACTGAGAACAAACTGAGGGTTGATGTGGGGTGGGAGGGAGGGGAGGGTGGGTGATGGGTATTGAGGAGGGCACCTTTTGGGATGAGCACTGGGTGTTGTATGGAAACCAATTTGACAATAAATTTCATATATTGGGAAAAAAATATAAATTCAAAAAAAAATAAAACTTATAAATCATTGCCTCTGCTTTGTAAGAGTACAGCATGATGTGTACAGTGGTAAGTCTTTAATTAGCTGGAATCTTAGAAATCTCAGGATTAGAAAGGATCTTAAGAATTATATACCAGAATCTGTCATCCTATGCTAGAATTCTACACTACTGTATCTAGAACACATCAAGGATTCATTACCTGCCTGACTTCCTTTTAGTGTCTCTTTGCAGCTTCTACTCACTGCACTGATCCTATACTCCTATAGTCCTTGTGAAAACCTGACAATCCCTCCCACAAGTCAGTATTTTAAATGCTTAAAGACGATATGATCATATCTATCAGTCTCTTATTTCCTGAATATTCCAGGTTCCTTTATCTGTTTCTCTTATGACATAGGTATCTACTATCCTTTCATATCTGGTTGCTGTTTTTGTGTATGATTCTTGAGTGGATGTGGTGCTTCAAGCACGGCCTCACTGCCCCTTTCCACGGCAGTCAGGGTAGTGCCTGCAATGAGTAAAGGTAGAAGAATTAGGTCACCAAAATTACCACCTATTCCTTAGGACATTTTAATGGGCTATTTGCTCCCCCAGGCTGAAGTAAACAGAACTAAGAGCATTAACGAGTACATGATGAATGATGCTGGGAACAACGGTTTCAGGAAAAATGTAATAAATCAATAAAACACTATCTAAGGAGAATTGCCTTTAGAATACCTCACATTCAAAATCACAAACTTTATATGAAGTCCAGGAAATGCTTTGCTTTTCAAAATGTAAATTTGTATTAAACATTTATATGATATATGGAGGGCAGTACTCCAATAATGGTAATTTTTTAGGCCATAGAATTAAAGTGATTCGTTCTTTTGAAAGCTAAGTAAGATCTCAGTTTTCAAAACATGTTAAACTATTTGAAAGATGGGAAATTTTACTTTCATTTCTCTTCCCCTGATAGCGTATCTTTATTAAATTTTTATAATGATTTTAAAATTTCAAAGAGCAAAGTTACTTCTCCGAGCTTAGTTTCCTCAGCTGTAAAAGGCAGAGTGCTCTGGAAAGTTTCTATGGATCTATATGGTCTCTATTATTATTGAGGATTTCAGTACAGAAATAAATCCAAGATTATTCACAGAAGACAATGTATTAAGTAGAAAATATAATAATTTCAGAAAATATAATAATTTCTAAATAGTAAATGAAGGGCATCACAAAATGACAAGTTTCAAGAAAAACATTTTAAACATGAAAATAAGTCCCAGCTTTGGAAAAAGATGTGGAAATTTTAAAAGGTCACATTTCACTATAAAATTCTTATCTTTCATACTTTATATACTATGGCCAAATCTTCACAGACAACTCAATAATTTCTGTATTTAAAAATGATGCACTATTCAAAAACTTAAAATTTTAATACCTTTTTTGGTCTCCATAAATTTTTCATAAGTATCTGGAAAATCATCTTCTGGCTTAGATTTTTCTACTGGTGCCACAACTGCTTTTCCTTCCTCCTCTTCATCTTCATTAAACCACATTTCTTCATCCTCTTCCAAGGCTTTTGCATCTCTGCGAAATCTGTTACTACGCAATATAGATGGTACACTGTAAGAAACATACCACAAATACTAATGACTTAAAGTTTGTAACCAGATTAAATTTGAGAATAAATATGTATGACCAAGAGGAGCTAAAGTAATTTTAACTGAGTATAATTTATATCATAACCACCTCAACTGTGATACAAGATGTAACCAGAAAATATCCCAAAATATTTAAGGATATTGCAAACTAAACTAAAAATTTACCTTGAGTTATGATACAAAGCAGTCATTTTTCACATAAAAGATTCTGGTAAGGAGAATATCCTACCCTTCTATAAGACTCTGTACTATCTAATGATGGAAAGAATGCTCCTGGGTAAATTTATTATGTCAGATCCAAACAAAAGGTGATTTTGGATATAATTACATAAACTATAGATGCAATATACTTAAAACAATACCTGTTCAGTTTCTGATTTTGTCTGTCTTTTTCTTGCTCATATTTAGTCTTCAATCCTTTGAATGTCTGAACATATTCAATTGATTCAAGTGCTTTATAAAAGTTTTCAACTATATGTGCAGTAAGAGACTTGATATCTTCCTGTATAAGGACAAAATTTACAATTCAAATATAATTCAATGACTGTTAGGAGAAAAACTTAAAGAAACTTTTTTACAGTTCCAAAGCTGACCAAAAAAGATTTTTCAAAATCACATTCCAAAAATAAGTGTCCTAGTTTCTTTATACATGAGCCAGGCCTCCTCAGAAAACTTGGAATAAAAAAGAAGCCTTTTTGGGGGGCTACTAAACATCTGAAAGTAAACAGATTTAGTTTATATCTTGTTTATTTTTTCCATTTATGTAGCACTTCACAATTTAAAAAGCACTTTAACATATACTTTCACTTGATCCCCCTAACAATTCTATGAAATAGGATTCATTACTCCCATTTTACAGAGAAGGAAAATTGAAGTTCTCAGAGGTTAGATGGCCTGATCCAGAGCACACAGCCAGTTAGAAAATCATATTCTTTTTTTTTTAAATTATATTTTCAACAAAATGTTAGGTGTTACTTAATGACTCCTTCTTTAACTGGTAAGAAGCCTTACCTAAATAATAAACACAGACTCCTTTGACTATATTACATGTACAGATATGATCAACTGTTAACTTGAATTCCACCTATTTCCAGTCTTCCAATGGTATAATTTTTGTGAAATAAACTGAAAGCAATAACTTCTAAATTCTATATGAACCATTCTAAATAATCATTCCAAATACCTGAGTGTGAAGCAGGCTCATTAAAAAAAAAGTTTATTTATTTGTAATTTTGAGAAAGAGTGTGTGCCCAAGTGGGGAAAGGGCAGAAAGAGAGAGAAACAGAGACAGAATCTCAAGCAGGTGCCTGAATAATATTTTTATTATTAATAATAGAAGTCGTCATTCAGGAATTTAATATTAGTAAAAAATATACATGCCACTTCTTTAAAAGATACACCATAATAGGGACACCTGGGTGACTCAGTCAGTTAAGTGCCCAACTCTTGATTCTCATGGTTCCTGAGATCAAGCCCCAAGTCAGGATCCATCCTGACAGCACAGAGCCTGTTTGGGAGTCTCTCTCTCCTCCCCTCCCCCACTCAGGCGTGCACACGTGGGCACTCTCTCTCTCTCTCGCTTTCAAATAAGCTTTAAAAAAAAAAAAAGATATACCACAAACTGTTTCTTTTAAGGATTTTAAGTCTTTATATTCTCCTGTAAATCTCAATTAAGAAATATTAGAAACCCAGGTAAAATGGTTCTATACTATACCCTGAACAAAAAGATGAGTCAAGTTTTGGGATTCAATGTACATTTATCAACTACCCAAAATTATTTTCTGAAAAACAAATTCAATCATAGGAATAGGGATGGGGTTTTTACCCTACAACTCATTTTATCAGTATCTCACCAAAAATTTTAAGGAAAAAAATACAAAAGTCAATCTCTATTCATTAGAACAGTGCACTGTGAACTGGGGTTCAGATACTTGGTGAGCTAGTTAACTATGTTCCCTCTTTTCTAAGGCTAAAGAGTACTTCTATCCTCTTCATCCTTTTGAAAACCATACTCTTAGCAAGTGACTATTATTAGAAAAATAATCAAGTCAGCCAAATCATCTTTATCTGAGAATAGCATATCATGAGCAGAAATGTGATTTGTAACACACACAACTAGAGAATGAATTTCTAGCTCTGATTTTCTTTTTTTCAAATTCTTTCTAACCATGTGGCCATTTGCCCTGGTGGAATGATTTCATTGTGTGGGAGAGGGTAAATTTATTGTACTGGTTCTACAGTTACCTGTCTTATCCCTGTTGCTCACATACAGTTCTCTCCAGATCTTTTTATGACAAATCTTATGTTGCCCCAAAGCGAGCTGTGACCTATCTTCAAGTTCTGACTGTGCTCCTAACCAAATGGATGCTCTTGAATCAATCACTCAAATCAGTTTGGATGACTCAAGTACCTCATCTATAAAATAAGGCAGTTGGAGTGGTCTGCCTACTTCCTGGTCTCTTCAACTTAAAATTCCATGATAAAAGCCTACCTTTTATACATCTTCCATCAAAGTTTACCAAAGTAATTATTTTCAACCTTTCTATATTTATCACTACCCCTACAACAGATCAGAGAGATCACATCATTGAATGGCATGCTTGACTGAAAAGTCTACATACATATGCCAAATATAATCCTAAAACATTTGGACAATAAAAATAATACACAGTAAACATGGGTTAAAATACTATGCTCAATTTCACAATTTAGAATATTAACGTTGCTAAACATATAATTATTTTGTTAAGAAGCCTTTACTATAAACTTACCACTCTTATAAATTCAAATAACTCAATGACAGCTGAATTCAACAGATTGTACCGAGTTCCGTTATCCAGGAGAGCATTTATAACTGGCTCAAAAAGATTTCCCTTCGTGATGTAACGATTATAAAATTCATCTTTAAGGCCAATTATCCGCCTCATAAAACGAAGAGCACCTAATTAAAAATAATACAGGGAACAAATTGATAATTTATTAATAATTATTGGGAAGTATAAAGCATGTATACTTCTAAAATAAAAAGTAAACACTGTGAACTAAAAATAATTGGGTTTTGAAGGAAAAAATAAGTTAGGGAGAGACCACTTAAACTTGTATAAACTTCTCTGGTAGCTAGCAAAAAGTCCCATAATTGGTATTTAGGAGATAAATAAACTATTCAGGCAGGTAGCTCCAAGATATAGAGATTAAAAAAACATATACAAAGCACAGGCTGCCGATGCTGGCAGTACTGGGAGCAGTACTGGTGGACATGAAGACAGTACAGTGACAGCAGCTCAGGACCAGCGCAGGGCTGTCCGTCACGAAGGTGGGCGGAGCACCGGTGTAGCCTGTCAAGGCCTTGCCTCTCTGCAGGAGGGAGCTCTGAAGGTAGGTACTTCTTTGTGATTTCCTGAAAATGAAGCCAAAGGGGTTCTTGCTGCCAGCTTAAGAGGAGGGCTGAAGGTCTTTTACTTTTCTGATGAAAGCTACAGTTCCACTCCCACCATTTCAGTTCTCTTTGCCTTGGAAAAAGCATCTGTGAACTGACGCTACCTATACATTATAATGTCATTTCCTTGTTTACCAACTGCTTATGAGCTGTTTTGCCATAGCAGATCAGGCTGTACTTATAAAAGAACAACAGAGTAACAAATAAGCAGGATCATCTGGCTTTTCACATTTTAGAATACTGAAATGTTCAGTCTCTCATTTCAACCCACTGTTCACAGATGGAAGTCATTAAAAGAAGTTGTGTCTGTCAAAAGAGGTTCCTAATATCTGAGAATAAAACAGAAACAGGCCATGTAAGGTCTAAATGTAGGATGACTGTAACACTAAACAAGTGTGAAGAGAAGTGCTAGACTTCTAACAACACCTAGTCTTTGTAGCAGAACAAGAAGTACTTACTTAAGATTAAAAAGACTGAAGCACCGGTAAAGACGTGAGCACTCTCATATACTGCTGGTGAATAGTAGGATATAGTAACAACTACACTGCTAATTATAATGGAAATCTTGAAGCAATGTAAACATGTAAATACTGGAGATTTGTTCAATTATGGCACATCCACATAAAGAAATGACTCTGCAGTCATCCCTAAGCACTGGCTACAGAAAGCCACATAAGAACTCCTATCATGAGAACATCCATCTTCCGAAAATTAATATAAAAATTTAATGTAAATGTGATCAGGATGAAATAGATAAAATTATTTTTAAGTTACTGTGGAAGAACAAGTGTCCACGAACCAAGAAAATTATGAAAACGAAAAGTGAGGAGGGACTTAGCAGATAATTAACTTTACAACAAAGATGCCATAGTGGACTAAGAATAAACTTTCCCATTTATTTCGTCTAGTAAAGTAACAGATTTAAAAATATTAGTCCAGAAGTAAGACAAAAGATATATGTGGTAACTTACTGGATAACAAAAGAGAAACTTTCATTCAGTAAGAAAAATAGTTTATTTAATAAGAGGATGGGCACAATTGGCTATCCATCTAGAAGAAAACAAAGGAAGACCCTCCAAACCATATACAAAAACAAACCTCAAATGTATTACATATATAAGTAAAAAATGAAATAATAAAAATATCAGAAGTAAAATGAGGAGGATATTTTATTTGTATAATCTTAGGACACAGATGTTCCTAAGCAAGACAAAATCCTCAAAACTCATAAAAAGAAGACATATTTTTCATCAGGGAGAATTTTAAATTGTTATGTCAAAAAATAAAATAAAGGTAAATGTGAAAGACAAATGAGACTGGGACATTTTCCCCCCCAAACATGATATATTATTGGTATTTCTAATATAAAATGAGCTCTAAGAAAAAGGTAACAGACAATCCACAACAGATAAAATTCAAAAACACTAAAACATGAAAGTATGTTGCCAAAGAAAACATAAATTAAAACACAAGTGGAATACCACATTTCCCATCATCTGCCTCCTAACATTTTAGGAGCCAGTAAAACTGAATGCTGCCAGAGTGTCAAGTGCTTCAATCTTTTGGGAAAGTTATCTGGAGGCTGTATGTTAAACTCAAATTTAAAAGGATACATTAAAACTATATAAACATTCTTTACTGGCAATAGAATTATTGGGAATCTACACTATGGAAATAAACCAATACTTAAAAGATTCATATACTAGACTATTTACTACAATGTTGTTTGGAGTGGCAAAATACCAAAACAATCCCATAATCTGTACACTGCAGAATGGCAGAATAAATTGTGGAAGAGCCACTCCATCAAATGTTACTCAGCTACATTTAGGAAAACAACTTAGTTGAGACTATATTCAATCACCTAGAGTAAGACTAAGGGACTGAGAAGTATGTTAATATGATCCTTTTTTGGATAAAAATAAAAAATACCTATAACTGTGTAAATATGTTTATATAAATTTTTACGGATACAGAAAAAAATTGTGCAGGCTGTTAATGGTGGCTACTTTTAAGGTCTTAAAAATAATGGTTGGGGGATTAATATTTTCTCTATATATTAAATGTTTACATTTTATCTATGAGTTTTATGCTCAGAAAAAACACACAAAGCTCTTTTTATTTGGAGAGAGGAAGTTTTAGTTTATCTCTATTTGCAGGTAAAATTGTGAAGAGGAAAGGAAAGTTAAAAGTTTGGCAACAATCAACTGAAGCAAATACTGGCATTTAAGTTTGATTATTACCGGTTCAATTGGTCTACTGAGGGGGACTACTCCTAAATTATTTTTACAAGTTCAATAAATAACCCGAGTTACACAAAAATATTTCAAGGCTATATCTCAAAAGTATAAAAAAAAGTCACCAATGAATGACAGTGTAATGAAGCAGATGTAAAAGACAGTAGGACTTGTTCTATTAGTGAAACGCTGTTGTTGTACATACTATTGTGTCACGACTTAAGCCAATTCAATCCAAATGTGAGTAATATGTGGGTGGGAAGCACCATGACCTATTCCTCCTGTCCTTTAAATAAAAGATTAGTACTTCTCATAAAATCATCTTTTTAATAGCATATATACTGCTAAAAAAAATAAAGTCCAATGGGTAACTTCAGGGTTTATCTCTATTAAAAATGCTGTTCCTTAAGATATTTTACAAGAACATTCGTTTAAAGTGTTACTTACACAAGGCCAGGAAAGTGTGCTTTGAATTCATCAAGACCAAGACTCTTCTTAGCAAGTCCTTGTTCATAATATAGTTTTTTATGTGGTATGTGTGATGTTCCACGCAAAATGTGAGTAGTTCTAAAATTAAGGCAAGCAGCTGTGCTGTTTGATAATTATCTACAAAGAAAGTCATCATATGAAAATAAAATAAATATCGCAATTCATCTAAATAGAATAAAGCTTATGTCCTAGATTTTAGAGCAACAGTAAAATTCTATTTGCTCCTCATTTTTATATCAATTAAAGAAGCTACGGATTTTTACTTTTTCATTAGCAGACTCCCCAAAAGTATTATCAGTTTTACTGACTAAATGGATACTTTCTAAGGCTCTTGTATAAAATATTTATGAATATTAAGAGGAAAGAAAGTCTAAATAAAAATCTACAAACATGATAAGAAAACCGTCATTGCACTGAGATCTTCTTAGTAGTGTTTCCTTAATATGTGCTATTACTATTAATTAACCGATAAAGAGAGTCCACAGTAAATAGCTCAAACTTTTTGCCCATCACATGGTGCAATATAAATTTCCCCAGTAAAATAAGTATGTTTTAAAAATTCATTTTTGAGAGAAAGAGAGCGAGTGTGCGTTCATGAGTGGGGGAGGGGCACAGGGGGGACAGAGGATCGGAAGCAGACTCTGTGTTGACAGGAGCAAGCCAGACGCGGGGCTCAAACTCACGAACCATGAGATCATGACCTGAGCCGAAGTAGGGCACTCGACCAACTGAGCCACCCAGGCGCCCAATATGCTTTCTTTAAAGACACCTTTAAGGAAAGGACATTTTTGGCTATTTGAACATCAAGTGAAAAATATTACATCAATATTTATTTTTAACAATAATCATTTTAACATCAAATCATGATATCCATGAAATGCCTACTGAAATAAAGTACACTGTTTTTTTTTCCCTCAAGAGGCTTTGGTGTATACATTCATGAGATTTCAAATTGTTTCCTGAACATCAAAATTGAATGTATGTCAAAGGCTCATGTCAACCATTACCCACACCTATTACAAATGTTTTAGGCAAGAAATATTAAGCCGTGAGGAAATTTTGTAATTACAGCTTTACAGACTAAATCTAGTCCAACTATTGTATTTTTGAAGAAGATTACAATTATAAATAAATATTTTATGCAACTATGATCCTATCAGGAATAAATCAGCATTCGTTTGATAACAGAATAGCCATTAAAAACTGGGTCACCTGTTCAGTTTTTAAGTGGCTGGTTCAGTTGGTTAAGTGGCTGATTCTTGATTTTGGCTCAGGTCATGATCTCATGGTTTGTGTGATCAAGTCCTGTGTTGGATCTGTGCTGAGAGTGCAGAGCCTGCTTGGCATTCTCTCTTTCCCTTTCTCTGCCCCTCCCCCACCCTCAAAATAAATAAATAAACTAAAACAGAAATACAAAATACAGTTCTGGTATTTCAAAGATCCTTCCTACTTTAAATGCAAGTAAAGAGTTTTACTTGCTTCAGAGCAATCTGTGTAACCAGCACCACAACCAATATATGAACTAGTCCCTCACCATTAAAAAAACAAACTCTCTTAAACTCTCAATTCCCAAATTTTATTTACAAAGATTTTGTAACAATGATCTGCAGTGTTAATAAATGTCTTGTTTTCACATTCTCAAATTAGGACATGAAATTACTCATGATATCTTGAATCCAATCTCTCCTAGACCTTTGATGAGCCTGGCAGAAAAGATAGGATGCTAGGTGCACACAGCAGATTTTCCATACTCCCAGCCCCACACCTGCTATGCATGTTCCAAGCAGAAGCAACAGTGTTTACACTCACATTCATAAACAATACCTAAGCATAATGTTGTCATCAATACTAGTTCCTAACTGGCCTTAGGATTTCAAAGATAAGAATGAACTAAAATCCTCAATTTTCAGATATCTTCTCAAAAAAAATATCAGAAAATAAGCTCTAAATTTACAAAAACAAAAAATTCCAACTGGTTTTCTATCTTTTATATTGGAGAAAGTGGACCCTTTTCTTTATTATAAAGAAGAAAGGAAATATATTTTTTTAATTTCATTTGTTTGAGAATATGCCTTTCCTAGCCTTGTATAAATAAATGCATTATACTGAGGAAAAAAAGCTTTCACTTTGTATTAGTTCATAAAATAAGAATTTATACTTACCAGGGCAAATCGTGCTGTTCTTGTTAGATCCAACTATATTATCTAATAAAAAAAGTTAAAGTCAGTTCAGTAATAATTAGATCACATTTTCCTAGTACTTTACAACATACAAAGCATGTCTTTGATCATAATCTCATTTTACCTGGATAATAACCATTAAGAATTAGTTGTGAGGAAAGGGTAAGGGGGTGGGCAAAATGAGTAAAGGGAGATAAGGTTCCAGTTATGGAATGTATGTCACAGGGATAAAAGGTACAGCACAGGAAACATAGTTAATGGTACTGTAACAGCACTGTGTGGTGACAGATGGTAACTACAACTTGTGGGGAGCACAGCTTAATGTATAGACTCTTCAACGTAGCACTGTGTATCAATTATATTTCAATTTAAAAAATTTAGTTGCTTCAAATATACCTGTATCTGCAATTGTTTACAGAATTGGGTGCAGATGAGGAATTATTAAAAGACAATATCACAAATATTCTGATAAAAGAAGGTGAGGTTACAACCAGAGAAAAGAATGATACTTCTTTTACTTCTCTTAGCCATCCTCCAACAATTAGGACAGGTCTCTCTACGGAGGAGTTTCTTCAACTCCAGAATAACACATATGTTAACAATTAGTCATTTATGCTTTGAAATTTGAGAAAATAAGTAAGACATTATAAGTTCTGATTTCTAGGCACATGGCTTACAGTACATTTGTGTAGAAAAAAATAAGACTATCGCACAGCATTGTGTATGATAAAAAATCTGGAAACAAATGTACATTAGAGGCAGAAAGGTTAAATTACAACATACTCATATGAGAATATTATGTAGGGATTAAAAATAAGAACTCTAGCTATCAATATGGACAGATTTCTAAAAAGCACTGAGTAAAAGAAAAAAATTGCAGAATATGAAAAACAGAAATCAATTCTTATCAAGTTTGAAAACATGAAAAATAATACATTATACATGTCATAATAATATAAACAGACATGGGGTGATAAACTTCAAATTTAGCATTTCTTGAGGGATGGGGGAGAAATCAGAATGTGGGGAGAACAGGAAACTCCAACAAATCTGTAATTTATTTTCTTTTCGAAAATATTTGGAAAAATATGTCAAGTTAGTTTTGATAAAGCCAACAGGAAATATATGGGGGTCTGTTATACAATTATCTAATATTTTTGCATGGCTGGAAGTATTTTAAAATAAAGATTAAAAATTTATTTTAATTTATACATATGAAACCATTCTGCATGAAAATGTTCTGCAACATGTTTTAACCAACTATATATTTTTGGGAACTAGTCAGATGATAGATCAAAATTCAATTATTTTAATTGCTATATAGTATTCCATTATATGAATATACCATACATTCTTCATTTTCCTACCATGAGCAAGGCACCAACATGTACCTGTCATGCACATGCATAAATGTTCCCTAGGGAAATACAAATCAAAGCCACAATGAGATACTACCTCGCTCATGTCAGAATGGCTTACATTAACACCACAAGAAACAGGTGCTGGCAAGCATGAGAAAGGGGAACCTCCTGCACTGTTGGTGGGAGTGCAAATTGGTACAGCCATTCTGGAGAGCAGTATACAAGTTCCTCAAAAAACTAAATATAGAACTACCCTAGGATCCAGTAATTGCACTTCTAGGTATTTACCCAAAGGATACAGAACTATAGATTCAAAGGGGTACATGCACTCTAATGATTATAGCAGCATTATTAACATTACTAAATGTCCACGGACTGATGAATGGATAAAGAAGATGTGGTGTGTGTGTGTGCATGTGTGTATCTGTGTCTATATATCTGTATCAATTATCTACATGATAGAACATTACTCAGCCATCAAAAAGAATGAAATCTTACCATTTGTAATGACCTGGATGGAGCCAGAATTAGAATGTATTATGCTAAGTGAAATAAGTCAATCAGAGAAAAATACCATATGATTTCACTGATACGTGGAATTTAAGAGACAAAACAGATGGCTATATGAGAAGGGGGAAAAAAAGAGGAGGGGGGAAACAAACCACAAGAGATTCTTAACAATGAAGAATGGAGGGTTGATGGAGGGAGGAAGGTCGGGGATGGGCTAGATGGGTGATGGGCATTAAGGAGGGCACTTGTGATAAGCACTGGGTATTGTATATGATGAATCACTGAATTCTACTCCTGAAACCACAACTGCACTGTATATTATCTAACTCAAATTTAAATAAAAACAAATAAATAAGTGTTCCCTAGGATAGACACTCAGAAATTGAATTGATGGTATTATGTAAGGTGTGCCCAGTTCACAATTTTATTACTTAACACTCTCTTTCACTTACTTCTTAACTGACTCATTGAATGTGTCCCCCCTATTTCTCATTTCACCAGATGAGTTGTATGCTTATCAAAAAGTCCTTTGTTTATGCTAGTTATTTTTGGCAGTATGAATACATAATTTAAATACTGCAGACTGATGTAATAGCATAAAAATGTAGTATCTATGGCTAAGCTGAATACAGTAGAAGTAGAAAAACCAGAAGTTGTAGCTGATGAATCACAGGTGTAGTTTATGTGTGATAGAGGACATGGAAATATGTTAAAAAGTACATTAAAAAAAAGGCTTGCCCCTCTACAAAATATCAGCAAATGAGTCAGAATTTAGAATAAATATTTACAAGGGTGCATGGGTGGCTCAGCTGGTTAAGCCTCCAACTCTTAATTTTGGCTCGGGTCATGATCTTGTGGTTCATGAGATCAAGTCCCACGCTGGGCTCTGCGCTGACAATGCAGAGCCTGCTTGGGATTTTCCCCCTTGGTATTCCCGCTGTCTTTCTCTCTGTGTCTCAAAATAAAAATAAACATTAAAAAAGAATAAATGTTGACTGAGTTTTTTTTTTAACTTTATTTTTTTTTAATGTTAATTAATTATTTTGAGAGACAGAGAGTGAGAGAGAGAGAACCCCAAGCAGGCTCTGTTCTGTCTGCACGGAGCCCAATGCAGGGCTCGATCTCACAAAACATGAGATCATGACCTGAGCCAAAATCAAAAGTAGGACGCTTTCCAGACTGGGTCACCCTGGTGCCACATACATAGTTAATTTATTTAAACCGTTCTCTGCTTTAATCAACCTTGGATTTTCTAATATAGGTAATATACTGTCTACTCTTATTCTCGATACTAACTCTAACAACTCTGGGAACAATCTCCTTTTGCTAGGTGTTTATAAATCTCTTCCTCAAGGTGCAATGCTTTTTGCCACATTTTCTGTATCATTCTCTAACACAGACACTCTGAAACAAGGGAAATCATGATTTTATACTGCAGTTAAAATTTTTCAGTATTAATTTCCCTGACATATAAAACACTGAGGGGACATCTTGTTGTAGATTTAATACTTATTGTAGTCTTCAAAAACAGAAACCATAAGCAGGTAAGTAAGAGACCGTACCCTTTTCACACTTGTCTTCTGAAGTATTGGTCAAAAGTGGTGCTGTGAGAACATGCATACAATGGTTGTAGAAGAAATTTAGAAATTCACTTTTTTCAGTTTTCTGAAATATACAGAATTAAAAAAAATACTTTATTATCTTTTAATTAATAAAATGTCTCTAAGAATTAATGCAGGTCATACACAAATAACAGATACTTTAAGATACCCCAAAAGCAGCAAAAAACTAGTTTTATGTTCAACTTGATATTGTGCAGTACTAAAAAATCAAATCTATTTCATATTACTTATTAAATTAAAATGAAAGCCAAGAAAATGATGATAAAAAGTTTATCTGAGGAAAATTATTCAGAAGAATTTTTCTTCAAATACGCTTGTGATCTGCAATGCAATGAAGAATATCTATCAAGCAATGTGGGAGGAGCAACTTAACTGCTTAAACTTTGAAATTCCAGATTTCATAGCATATCCAAATATGAAAAAACACCAAATTGATTTATCAAGCCATCTGAAACAGGGCAGAATTTAGACCTATTTTTTTTAATTAAATTTATTATTTGGAAAATAATGCTTTTGATTTTGGCCACTATTTTTTACACAAATGGTCTCATAAATAAGTCATGATTTAAATACAACATACGTATTCTCTAAATATGAGGGAACTTTATAAAGAAAAAACATCCCAACATTTTGAGACAACTACTAGTATTTTGGAATATTTCTGTAAGTCTTTTTTTAATGACTTCTCTCTTACTACGCGGTTGAGACCATTCAGTACATATTAATTTTTAATATGATTAAATAACACATAACATAAAACTTATCATTTTCGCCAATTTTACTGTTTACAGTTCAGCAGTGCTACATATATACACACTGTTGTATGCTAACTTTGAAGAACTTAAGAGAGGCCAAGGGCCATAAATAGAAAGGCTAAAGTTTTACTAAGGTTTTAGCAGATTACAATCTTGTATTTTGCCAAAAATAAACTGCTACAGGACCGTCACTGCTACTTGAATGCCAAGTGTACAAATACTTGTTTTTCAAAATTGTACAAATTTTAAAATATTTTATATTTACATATAATTTATATGTTTATACATAATTTATTATACATAAAATCATTTAAAACTGACTAGACTAAAACATTTTTATCTCAGAATAATTTCTTACATTAGTTGTAGCCAGCATGTTCTCTGGATCAATTAGAGTACGAAGAAGTCCCATTAACTGAACAGCACCTCCTAGCTCAGGATCAGTATCACAGATCATTTGTTCAATTACTACATTAATGAGAAGGATATCCTGAAAGAAAACATATTTCCATTAGACCTGGTTTGGAGATAAGACAAATATACCAACTGAAAGAATAAAATCAGAATTATACAGAAAAAAACAAAGAATAAACAAACTTTTTAAAGCTTTTACATTCCTAATATTTTGCAAAACATATTTAAACTTTTAGGCACCTAGTATCTTTCAACATTCTATAAACACATGAGTGAAAAAACCTAGTAAAAAAAGCAGAGCACACTACAGCTTATGATAACCTCAGTATAGGGGAAGTGGGAAACAAAACAATTTACCAGTGATTCTTGTTCACTGGAAATTCTAACAGATGCTCATTTTAGGTTTCAGCCTCAGTTATGAGTTTAGAAGTTTAGTAAGACAACATATCTTGTGACCCTAAAACACAGATTGTCTCAGCTTTTTTTTTTTAATTCTTTAACGTTCATTTTTATTTTTGAGGCAGAGAGAGCATCAGTGGAAGAGGGGCAGAGAAAGGGAGACACAATTAGAAGCAAGCTCCAGGCTCTGAGCTGTCAGCACAGAGCCCAATGCAGAGCTTGAAGCCATTAACTGTGAGATCATGACCTGAGCTGAAGTCAGACGCTTAATTGACTGAGCCACCCAGGTGCCCTGATTGTCTCAGCTTCTAACGAGAAAATCCTTTCTGGCAAAAAAAGGGGAAAACAGTACAACTCTCCACAAGAAGCAAGTGGGTGTGCACTGTTACATAATAATCTAAAGCTACACAGATTTGTTGTTACATTAGTTGCATGCTTTGGCATCTAGATTATGAAACTACAAAGCAGCCTGCAGATACAAAATCTGCTTTTGGCATGTATTTTTAAGAAATCTTGGGAATTAAAATACAATACAAAGCGACTGTTCATGTCAAAGAAAAAAGTTTTCACATCAACTCAGTGGATCTGAGAATATGTTTATAACTGGGGGAAGAAAGGTAGTAACTAAAGGAGATGAACTAGGGAACTGCGTGGAATGAAGATGAACTTAAACTGGGAGAATTCTGTAAATAATAAAAAGAAATCTTCAGTATAAAGCACTTTTTGTTATTATTTTGTTTTGCTAGCCCCTCTCAAACTTAATATATTGTGATTTCCAAAAATATTTCCCTGTAAAGTTCCTTAAAATTCCTTAAATTCAGCGAAGAACCAACAAAACCATGTCACAGCAACTGAACTGCTAAAAATTAGAACCCTACCCCTACCATGTTTCAAAATTTGAACACCAATAAATCAATTGTCATGGCATTAGGAACAGAATAAAATCTCTTCAGAGAGTTATTATGAAATAAAATTCACACACCTACATTAATAAATTCAGATCCAAGCCTCATTTCAATTAGAAGGAAAGATTACACATTAATCTGCTGCTCTTATTCTGATATGATCGGCAAAGCATAACTCATGTAAAATATCAAGATACTACAAAAAGGTGTCAGCTAATAAACTTTCTTCAGAACAATGCTATGGTATTTACTTACTTTAAATCTGTCAATATGTACAAATTGGATTCTACCAGTTAATTAGGGCCTCAGATAATTTGCTCAATTATATACAATCTTCTTTCATAAATTCATTCATTTAAAACTTGACACACACAAAAATCATAAATGATGAATTTAAGTTACATCTAAATGAAACCACAGTGGCAAGAAAGACTTCTTATGGTATAGTTCATACACTGAAATGTCATTTTAAAATAGTCTTCAAACTTTCTGCTCTTCTCTCTTACATGCAATGTCTCACAAATCCTGCTTCCATCAATATCAATGCCAAACTCTGAGTCACATAATTTAGTGACTTGTGGAGGTGAAAAAAGCCAATTTATATATTTCATAGAGAAACAGATGGCTATAGAGAACTATAGCCCTTTTAGGAGATAAGAAAAGAACTGCCTTTCTCAAAGGCCTATAAGACCTCCCTGCTAGAGACAGGTATATGCACCACTGAATGCTATCTTCAGAATGTTTTAAGATACTGAAACTTCACCTAGGAAGGGCACAGAGGTCAGTAGATAAATTGCAATCTCTAGGTTTAAAGATTATGCTTGGTGTAAGATCTTCAGAATCCATAAGAAGCAAATAGTTTGGAAGCCTACTAAATAGTTGAGGAAGCTTAACTGTCAAGAAAGCTTTAAAATAAAGAACAGTCCATGACTGTTCAATCTCTTAAGACCACCACTGGGCCAGAGAATTCATACCAACAGAAAGTAAGCTATGAAGATTATACAGATGCTTGGAAGAAAGGCATCCTCTACTGCCCATCCCAGATGTAGCCACAGCTGATCATGTCCTGAGAGAAGAAAGGCTTTGGAAGAAAACAGGCAAGGGAGATTTTTCAGAGACAGCTGGTTTGGTTAAGAAGTCTGAGCTATTGCTATTCTTATTCAACAAATAACTGATGGACCAATGCATCACAGTTGTGAATGAACGACTGCTGTATGTATGTTCTCCCTTTTCCAAACAAAAGCAGTTTAGTTTTGATGTTGGGGGCGATAAATTATCTTTTTGTTTATAGGTCATTGAAACACTAGGAGCCTTATCTGGACCTGAAGGACTATGTAATACCCAAATACTCTGGATGTGGCACTGGACACAAAAGTGAATGGAAACTTGATTTGTCTCCCTTGAGGGAAGGGTGGATGAGGAAAGAAAAATGTATATAAATGTTAGGTAGGTATAGAGGTAGACTGCAGTTGATACTAGGAGATGCCAACTTAGTCTCTACTCTTTGTTTTGTTAGCAGAGCCCAAATTTTGTTCAGAGAGGCAATGTACTTAGCTAAATAAAACACTATTTCCCAGCATCCTTCATTGCCAAGGAAAATTCACTTTTGGCCAAAGAAATCCAAGTAGAATTGCTAACTGGAACCTCCAGGAAAGTGCTTTAAAATGAAACACAAAAGCTATCTAGCCTTCTCCATTACTCTGCCCTCTGCTTTCATATTCTTCTTGCCTGGAGGTGCAATAGTAATCTTACAACCTCAAAGTAACAGACATTAAAACCAGAAAATGAGAATGACCGGCTCAGAAGATGAAAGTGATTGGGCATAACGAGATGGGGATCTAAGGGCATCTTGGAGTTGCTTCTCAACTTATTGTGACATTAACAAAATAAAACCTTTATTAAGTAAAACTATTTTAAGTTGGGTTTTCTTTTTTTGTATGATGAAAACACAACATTTAACATAATATCTACTCTCTTGGCAAAATTTTAAGTATATAATATTCTTTTTTTTTTCAACGTTTTTTTTTTTTTAAATTTTTTATTTTTGGGACAGAGAGAGACAGAGCATGAACGGGGGAGGGGCAGAGAGAGAGGGAGACACAGAATCGGAAGCAGGCTCCAGGCTCTGAGCCATCAGCCCAGAGCCCGATGCGGGGCTCGAACTCACGGACCGCGAGATCGTGACCTGGCTGAAGTCGGAAGCTTAACCGACTGCGCCACCCAGGCGCCCCAAAGTATATAATATTCTTAATTATAGGTACTATGCTGTGCAGTAGGTCTCTGGGACTTACTCATCCTGTATAAATTCTATTCCCTTTGATTAATACCTTCCACATCCACTGGCAAGCACCATTTATAGTCTCTGATTCAAGTTTATTTTTTATTCCTCATACAAGGTGTATCATGTATTTTTCCTTCTGTGTCTGGCTTATTTCACTTGGCAAAGTGTTCACTGGGGTTCATCCAAGTTGTCAAAAATGGCAGGATTTCTTGTTTTTGTTAAAACTGAATAATGTTCAACTGTACATGTATAACAAGTTTTCTTTATCCATTCATCTGCAGATGGACACTTAGGTTGCTTACATATCTTGATTATTGTGAATAGTGCTGCACTGAACATGGGAGTGCAGGTATCTCTTCAAGATCTTTTGGATTTATATACAGAAGCAAGATTGCTCGATCATATAGTAGTCTACTTTGATTTTTAGAGGAACTTCCATACTGTTTTCTGATGGCAGCACCAATATATCCTCATCATCAGTATACAAGAGGGTCCTTTCTCCATATCCTTGTGAAGACTTTTTATCTTTTTATTTTTTGGTAACAGCCATTCTAAAAGATGTATGTGTACTTTGGAGAAATACCTATTCAGCTCTTTTGCCTGTTTTCAAACTGGGTTGATTTTTTCCCTACTGAATTGCTGGAATTCCTTATTCTGAATATTAACATCTCACCAGCAATTGCAAACAAATTCTACACTTTTACTCCCAATCCACATACTATGAAATTGACATCAGAATCTATTTTTTCCATATTGTGTAGCTATTAAAAATAGATATAAACTATAAACTATAAATACAGTTATTCTTAATATTTTGTCTTTTACCTTTTATACTAGGGTTAAAACTGATTTATAGAACACCAATAGAGTATTATTCTGTATTTATCTACATTATTTACCTTCACCAGTGATATTTACACTTTCATATGCTTTCTTGTAGTTGTTTAGTGTTCTTTCTTTCATTTCAACTCCTTTTAGGGGCATCTGGGTGGCTCAATCAGTTAACCATTCAACTCTTGATTTCGGCTCAGGTCACGATCTCACAGTTTGTGAGATCAAGACCCATGTCAAGCTTTGACCTGATAGCACGGACCCTGCTTGGGATTCTCTTCTCTCTCCATCTCTCCCCGCCCCCCACTGGTTGTGTGCATGTGCACTCTCTCTCTCAAATAAACAAAAACTGGGGGAAAAAAAAAGAACTCTCTGTAGCATGTCTTGTAAGGCAGGTCTAGTAATGCCAGGTAAAGTATTCTCAGCAGTTTTTTCTTTCAGCACTTTGAATATATCACCTTACTTTCTCCTGACTTCCATGGTTTTTGCTGAGAAATTTGCTGAGACTTAGGGAGTTTCCTCGAAGTATGTGATTAGAGGTGTTTTTTTGTCTTGCTGCTCCATCACTTTTGACAGTTCTATAGTAACGTGCCTTCGTGAAGACTTCTTTGGGTTGAATCTATTTGAGGACATATAAACTTCATGCACCTGGATGACCGT